GATTCTCCACAAAATCATAACTCAGTAATGTGGGTTTTTTTAAGTCTTATTTGCCTCTTGTGCTAAGCACAAAGTCAGCAGCAAAATACAGCATGAGAAGTGCACCTGAACAGGAAGCACTGTGTGCCTGCACAGTCTTCACAGTGATTTTCCTGGTTATTCCCTGCCTGGCTGGGCATGTTCTAAGAGGAGCTAAGCACAGAAAGCAGCTCATAGGAGAAAGAAGGTCGTTGCACTGCCGCTGTCCTGTGATCTCATTCAGAGAGTGGAGAGAATTTATTGCATAACAGTGTTCTCCAGCCCTCCTTTTTGTGGTGAAATAAAACAGATTTTGTGTGTGTGTGTGCATGTGTCTGTGTGTGTGTGTGTGTGTGTGTGTGTGTGTGTTGCAAAACAAGTTCAGCAGATACAACACAGTGTTCTCATGGTGTTGTGCACTGGTGCAACAACCTCCAGCAGGGATTTCACTAAGCTGACAGAGACAGGGACGTGCCAAGCCAACTGTGACAAGGCATGCATTTCATTTGTGAACAGCTAAGGAAACCACAGCATGGTGCTAGCATAGGGGAGGAAGCAGGCAGAAATAGTTTCATTGTTTCAACATAGGGAAACAGTGACACTAATCCACTTGAAAATCCTGCTTATGGAACTATTAGGTCTGAAAATTTATTTTCTGGAACTGTGATTTTCCAGAGTTTCCTCTAAGTTTTTTGTTTGATTGCTTGTTTGTGTTCGGATAAACTCCTGCACCTACCTGCAAAAAGAATGACAATTTCATTGAATATAAATTATTATCACTTTTAAGTCAGCTAGGGAGGCTCTGGACACACATCTCCTACAGATGGTCTGTCCATTCATGTCCAGGCTGACACAGGGAGTGGAATGTCATGGTCCTTGTCTTTCCCTATGCCTAGATGAATGTACATATGCATATGGGTATATGTATACATACACACGGGTCTGACAGGCACACTGCATGCAAAAGCATTCGTACACATGATAGTTTAAACAAGTGGGATAGGTCTATCAGAGGCTACACATGTCCTGCTGGGTTCTGTTAGAACTTGCAGAAAAAGGAGACACATACTTCTGCCTGCTAATGTTTAAGCTGTTAGCTGCTATTATATTCATAGATGTCTTAGCCAGGTGAATGAGGAGCCATAGATTGAATTGCAAGTTTGTTTACAGAGGTTAAAATAAGAATACCGGGGAAAAACAATTATTATTCCTGTAAAGACACCGCATCCGTACTGATAAGAAAAAAGAGAAAGATATTATGATGAATAGACGATCTCAGATCTTAGTAATAAAACCAGAAAGAACAAGATTATGAAATTTCATCATGTCAGAAACACTGAAATTCTTTGTTCCTTTGTCCTCCTACCAGAAACCCTCTTAATAGCATTGAAACAACACTTTGAGGAAATTGGGTTATTCACATAAAATAGGGAAAATACTAATTCATGATAGATAAAGTCACTTTTAAATAACCCACATTTTGACATCAAAAGCTGTACCTAAAGTAAGCCACATGAAATATATCTTAAAAAACAAGAATTCAACATGCCAATGCTGGACTGCATTTAATAAATAAATTTAAAGGTGAGAAGTCAGAATTCAGTTTTATGAGAATTGGCCCAAGACCCACAAGTAAATAACACCAGCTAAAGAAACAGTCTCAGAGAAAAAAATGTGCTCTTTCTCCCTCTGTGGATATAGTTTATTTTTCAAATGGAGCTGAACAAATAAATAAGGAGAAGCTTATTAAATTGAGTAGCTAATACAAAAAATGCATGAAGCATCACAAGCAGTTTAGTTTTGTTCAGGCTTCATCCAGACTGAGAGCTACAGGAACTGTGATGGAACAAGCTCAATTTTACTACCACTTTCTAAAACAACAGCCTGATAAGGTAAGTTATATTTTACTCTATGTACTAATGTAACTAACTTAAAACTTGAAGGAGACTTATATACCTGTTCTCCTATCCCACCTTATTATGGATTACAGGTGCTGTGAGTATACAGAATATCATATGTCCTTAATCTGAAAATGTATTGCTTTCTCAAACTCTCCATTAACTAGCATTTCAAGAGTTTAAAACTAAGTAAGTCTCATCTGGACAATCAGTAAAAAAAAAAAAAAAAGACTAAGCAATTCCAGGCCTGAACTAAATTCTGTTTACTTCTTTTCTGCATGTATGCAACTTTTCCAAAAACCCTTCCTTTTCAGAGGCTAACCATGGGAAAATTTGAAAAGAAGAAATTTATTTGCAAAATACTAGATCAGAGGGATGAGCCATAGCTAAGCTGTACAGATAAAAGTGCACACAGATGCTCGAGATACTGTTAAGTTTGCCAGCCTCAGGACTGAAGGTAGTAGAGGTGGGTGGCATTGTAGCACTGAACTTAATACTCAGAAACCTCCAGGGATGATCATTCCACCAGGTATGATCCATTCCAGTGTGTAATCACCTTTTCTGTGAAGAAATTCCCCCTTATGTCCAGCCTAAACATCCCCTAATGCACCTTAAGACTGTGTCCTCTCGTCCTGGTTGCATAGAGACAGTCTTCTGCTCACTGCTGGTAAACCATTATATGTACAACCCTACAGAAAAGATAAGTAAGGCTATAAATTAAAATAACTATATGTATTGAAAGGCCAGTCCTCCCTGGCAATTCCATCCAAGCTGCCAGAGCCTGCCTCATGCAAAGCTGGCTGCTGAAGAGTTTCCCATTCCGCCTTTACTGGCACTTTCTCATGCTGGATGCACAAGACATGAAAAAGGGAAAGAAGGGACAGCTGTTTTGGAAATCTACATGATCCCTGGTTTAGATCTCTTATAAATCAATTTATCTTGTTAGAAAAATGCAAAGAGGCCCTGGCAGCCAACAGAAAATTAATTATTTTGCATACATTGTGTAAGAGTATTCATTAGTTTTACATGAATGGTGAGAGGTCAGTCAGGAACAGAATCCCATTGTGCTACCCTTCAAAGAGCTTGCCAGGTAATTGAATGGAAAAAAAGAATTAAATATGCAGGCAGAATGAACACTAATGGTTAGCAAACAGCACATTGCAAATATCTACAACTTCTTTGTCTAAATTCTTGAGTTGAGGTCTTAGGGGAAGGTGATTAGATATAAAACAAAAACAAAGAAAAAAAAAGGAATACTGAGGGATGTGCATAAAACACATGAATAAAAGAGAAGCATAATGGAATCTGAATGCTACAGTGTATCCAACTTGTCCTGTATTAGCACATAGACTTATAACATACATTATGCCTGTCTGCTGTTGTTTTCTGTACAGGGCACATGCCATGTGTAGGGCCACGTGAGAGACATTTTAGGAAATGTGGTAAAGTTCTGACCATATATATCACAGAGCTAGCTTTTGTTCTGCAGAACGATGAGAACACTGTGACTCAGTAAATGGAATAATTTAAATTTGAAAATAGCTCCCCAGAATCTGCTGAATCCATTCAGAGTTAACTAGCAGGAGAACATCACCATGAAGTGTTCTGGGTCCATCTGTTGGCAATATCATGATGGAAACAGCTTTTTAAATGCTATTTCAAATAAGCTATCACACAACAGCTTGTTTCAACAACATTTCATTACCTTTCTGTTTGTTTGCTGCCTACTGTAAAAAACAGCTTGGAGGGAAGGAGGCATTTCAGTACTATAGGCTGGTGTAGGGTGGGAGGGACAGAGACACTACAGAAACAAACAAAATGAGAAACAACTATAAAAAGAAAAAATAGAAGAAACTGCAATTTTAGACCCTCTGCAATCTAGATTTAAACCATGTGGAACCTGAACTATGCTGGTGTCAGTAGGGGATGCCCCAACCTGTCAATGGAATTATTGTCTAGTGACAGTGTCAGCCAGAGGATGCCAATGGCTCCTAGACAGAAATGGCAAGTGCACCTAGCAATTACCTTTAATTCTGCAAGACCTTCTGAACTGTGTGCTCCAATGAGTACTGAAAGGGAGATTCACCTCCAACACTGGGACACAGTCACTTGTGTGGTACCAAAACAACCTGGCCTATACAACTCCCAGGAAAATATCATATGTCCATCAGCTTACTCCTCAAGTAAAGCAAATGCCAGTGACTGATGGTACAAAGCCTGCATCCAATAGCATCAGAGTGTCTCAGCTGCAGAGATCAGCTCAGCAATAAAGAACAGATGGCTGCACTTGAACCCAAAATTAGTAGGAGATTAAATTCTTTTGGTTAACACTAAGAAAGTTTCACAGTTAGTCAATTCAGCATGTAGTTGTCCAAGCTAGCTTTGGCACTTCTAATGTCATGGCTTTTTAAACAAGGAAATAGATCATCCCAAGGTTTGTTCTGACTTATACCATGAGCCCATGATTCTAAAATAAATCACTCTATGCTGATAAACTCTATATCACTGATCCAAGTTCTAACATGTATTTACTTTAAAGTTTTGGTTTTAAAGAGATGCACTCCTTAAAAAAGTATATGGAGCACTCAAGTTTTACACACATTACGCATCTTGTTTCCCAAACAGCATTAGAAAGAGGGATAGTTAGAAAGAATGGAAGTTCATAAGCAGTACTATATGGGAAAGTAAAATAAAAAGGTATAAAACTCCAGGCAAATGGAGATGCAGAAACAAGAGAGTAAACCTGAAAAAGTACTATGGAAGTAATACTGAAAAAATTCAGCACATAGCCTTAAAAGAAAAGTAACAGTATGCAAAAATACGAAATACTGCATAAGGACTTCATTTGTCATCAGTGCTATAAGAAGTATGTACTCTGTACATTTGGGCTCATTCATATCATATGTTATCTTCTTCTGCTACTAAGATTTATTCTTAAGAAGACAAGGTATTTTGTGTTCTATTTATGTCTTTGACCTACTCAAATGTGTAAAGACATAACTTCCTCTTAGAATACATGCATCATAGCCTGCCATTAAAAGGAGAAATACAACAAATAAGAGGATGCTTATGGTGAGCACCTACCTGAGGACGTATGACTTTCACTATGTTTTTAAGTGCAGTGTCTGGTGATGGAGGAGAGCAGTCAGGTGTTGGGCCTGTAGAGCTGTTTCTATGGTTACCAGATCCTGGTGCGGTAATTGCTACCTGGGGTGCATTATCTGTGAATAAAAATAGCATCTATGTGAAATTACAAATACTTCATATATTTTAAAAGAAAAAAGAACTTTGAAAACAGAACGTTATTCAGAACAGTATTTAAACTTACAAAATGTAATAGAATTTAAACATATTTGTTAAGGAATATATTGCATATCTACACTTATTTTTTCACCCCATACATTCAGTCTATGTTAAAGCAAGATACAGCATTCTCTCAGTACCTAAACAAAATGAGGTGGAAACCAAGCACAAATATTTTACTTTTATTACCTTCAATTACTGACTGTGAATCCAAATATTATCACTATAACAGGGGTAACTTGAAAGGAAGATTTATAATGCAACTTCTAGTTGCATTATAGTTCATCCTGGAGAATCCTAACACATATGACCATGTTCTACATGTTATATAAACACATGTGAACTTAGAACATGCTAATAGGTGTCATTGACAACTTTCCTTAACATTGTGATCAGTGTAACTGACCAGCAAGGACTAATTACATGAAAACATGCTCAGTTTCTCAGGTAACATTTGCATCCCCCATCGAGTTCTGCACTGTAGCAGCTTCCTTTCCAGCAGTACCTCAGCCAGATAACCTACAGCTGGCTTAAAAATACCTGCACACCTGCATGTACCTGGGAAACTGCTCTTTGGACATATCTTCTTCTTATCATTTTATGGCACGGTGAAGGACCATAAAAGGACATAAAATATCATTGTTACCCTCTCTAAATGTTCTTAATGCTGTTTGATCATTTTAAAGTTAGTGAAAATCAGATCAGAGGAGAAAGAGGACTATGAAATAGCTTCTCAGCTGTGAGAGTACCTAATCCCTGGAATGACAGAAGGCAAAAAACTCCACATTACTTCACGCTTTTAGAATTCTATCAGTAAAGAAACACTTTAGCTCAGATTCTGGGGAAAGTATCATTGTCCGTGCATGGTTATGCTGGTTATTACAGGGCCTGTGAATTTACTGAGCACCTTTCTTTGTGAGTTACAAAGATGTGCTCCTTGCTCCTAAATGTGCTGTTACATCTGAAGCTCTGCATCAAGACAGTGATGTCAAATCTCACGTCTGTGGACCTCAACTGACAGCCTGCAGTGTTCACAGAAGAAAACAAGTTTATTTGTCTCCAATATGTGCTTCCACTCTGTGGAGAAATCCACTCTAGAAAAACCCAAACATCAGTGTGTAAAAGCAGCGCTCTTAAGCTGGAGAATTTTTGTCTGACCAACTTCTACAAGTACATGCATAGGCTCCTCCCTCTGCACAAGTCACAAATGCCTTTGTGAAGCCATGACAGAAGCTTCTCTCAGTCCTACTAACCTGGATGGGTAACAGAGATATTGAAAGGTAGGAAATACCCAGTTACATTAACAAAGGTACTATAGGATAAAGGGGAATAGTTTCAGGAATGTAAACTTGATGGCCTTTCCAGCTTACAGATACTTTCACGGCATGAATGATCCTAGGAAATCTGCAGGATTCTTCTTGCAGAGACACTACGTAACTGGACGAGGTTTCTAATCAAAGTTTCTAATCAAATACAGATTGACAAATTATTCTTCTAAAATAAATGTCAGGCTGGAATGTTTCAGCAATACCGATACAGCACTTAATGAAAGTATAAACAAAAATTCAGATGGCAGATTTGCAGACATCCAAAATTGAGACATCCTGTAGATAACCTCAGGTGTTACCAGAGAGAGTGAACCCTGTCACAGAAACAAAAATGTCCAACTTTTTTTAAAAGTATCTCATCAAAATTTCCAGTTGCAAAAGTGTGCAGTCTTACCACACAGATGAGTTCCTCCTGAATCATCAGAAGTGTGCACAGAAAGCCTGGATCAGAAGTAACTTATTTCATAAAGTAATAAATGTGTGCTAATATAATGTATGAAAACAATTTTTACACAGCCTTAGAAAGGAACTGAAAATGAATTCTCACAATAACATAACTGATACTGAAGAATTTTTGATAGCATTTCAAAAGCCTTAAGTGTCTCATATTCTTTCCTGCCTCACCTGGTGTCTAACTTTAAAATGTTGGTCACGTGTACCATGTAAATGGGTATTCTCTGATTTGAAAGCCTAGCTCATCAAAGGAGGGATAGGGATTTGACAAGAGGAGAAGCCTCTAAAGCCTTGCCATACTCTGAAAATCTCATTGTGAGGAGAAATACTAGATATGAATAATACCTTAAGCGAGCTGAAACTCTCAGCCTCTATTGTTCCAGACTATGATATAGCATCTTCTTTCACTCTATGGACAGATAGGAAATCATCAATGAACCTCCCTTACTGAGGAATCAGAGAGCTGCTCTATGACACCCCTGCCCTCTGTTTGGGGAGACACCAAGCAAGGGACTATACTACTGTCAAGAAATGTGGGCATACAGGCACCATATATAGGAAGGTAAAAAAATAAATTCTAGCGTGATAAATGCTCCACATGAATCCAGCCAAGTACACTTAGTGCACTTATTTACTCACTGGTGTGAGAAACAAACAGAATGATTGTCGCTGACAAACAGCTAAAGCTATAAGGAACACAAACTCCTCCATACTTCAGCAGCCCCTGCCTTTCTGTCACTCCCTCCCTGTGAGCCTGTGTGGCTGTCCTTAGCACAACTGCCCTTGAGCTAACTAGCATGTGAAAGCCTTGCAAGTGAAATCAGGCAGTCTTGCAGATACAGAAGTATCTCAAGGATGGATCACTCAAAGGACACATCATAAGAAATGCAGATTGGTGCCAATGGTAAGAAATGCAATTATCTGCCCACCGGTTTATTCTGTTTCAAAGCCTTGTCGATAGTCAGCTCGGTCTAAGCACACTTCAAAGATGCAGAAGAGGGTAACAGAGGAGTCAAGTTGTATGAGCAAGGTTTTGGTCTTTGCAAAGGAAAGGCTTCTTGTTGACCCTATTCAGTAGTAGCTCACTGAAAGCCAGGTTTTGCCCCTTCATACGGTCCCACACAAGCGGCCTTGAACCAACTGGGAGTGACATTCTTGGAAGGAAAATTTATTGGAAGGCATGCAGGAGGGGCAACAGGGCTGTTACATGCCCCACTAGACAGAGCTGAGAAAAAATTCTCCAGCTAAAATGTGTAAATACAATCATAACCAATTCAGCAACGTAAACAATATGCAGCAATCTCAGAAAAGAGTAGTTACAGTCTTTCTTTCCAAGCAAAATTAAGTGGCAATACAAAGAAAAGGATTGTGTTTATGGAGTTTAAAAACAAAACTTTGCAAAAAGAAGCTATACAATTTTATTTTTTTTTAAATAAACAGCCCAGAAAAATCAACCAACTGCTCAGTATTTCATGTCTTCCCTTCTTTCTCAAGGGGCTGTCTGACATGTAATGGTTTCTTGTAAACAGTTTCTTCATTGTGGACAGCTGTTTATTTTCACAGTAGGATGTTCCCATTAGGCAACCAATAATGATTTACTACCTGGGTCTGCTCTATCAGAGAGAGAACCATCAAATTAGTTCCTGCAACCAATTTGTAGGACCTGTCTGTTTATATATACAGTACTTACAGTTTCATTAGGAGTATCTTTGAATATATTTTCTTTGGAATTAAATTATATAATAATCATGTTTTAATTTTCCCTGGTGACAAAACTAAAGCAATTTTTTTTTCCCTTCGGGTAACTATAATGGCAACACTGCAAGCTTCAGAAAAACATTTCATGGAAAATAGAACTTGGAAGTTAAAGAAACTACCAAATTTACCTAGGAAAGATTAGCTCTCATGCTGAATTTCTGATAGGTGCTACAGATGGGGCCAACAGAGAAATATTTACAACTGTCATTCACTTCTAGCTCCTGGCTCACATTGCAATAATCTAGATGTTTCTTTGTAAATCAGATAACATCAGGATCCAGGGATCATCTAGCAGCTAAAAACTAATGAACTGCAGCATGCTCTAACAATATTCCCTCCTTCCTCCACCACACATGAGAAGTTGTCACAAGTTCTATGTAATTGGAGCTTAGCCTGATTTTTGAAAATGCTTACTGAGGACTTGACATTCTCCATTTCCTGTATTTCAGGGCAAAGAAAATAGACTAGAACAAGGAAAATGTAGGAATATAGTCTTTTAGTATATTGTAAGAGCAAACAGAGGTGTTATTCTAGGGCTGGCTTCTAAGATGTCAGACAAAAACATAAAATGTCAACTCTTTAACTGAGATGATAAAAAAAAGCCATACACAGGGACTTTTGCCTTTTCCTGTGTTGTGTGACATCAGTAGTCAGTTTTATATGTCCTTTTTCTTAGGGAGCACTGCACAGAAAAAAATGCCCTCATGGATAATAATAGACTGTAACACCAGAGTTCAACAAGTACTTCATCAACATTTTCATCCCATGGTCTATGTACTGTGAGGACAAACTGCTCACTGAAACTTTTCTAAGAGATATTTTTTCTCATAATGTACTCCAAAAAAAGGCACTCTATGTATACAATGCCACAGCATTATCAGGCAAGTACACTAACCAGAACATTTACTGCATCCCAGCAAGCAAAGTATCAGTAGCCAGACACAGCCCATATTCCAAAAATATAATTATAATTAGATTTTATCACAAACAAATCTTTAAAATGGAACCCACAGTTAATCTGGTTTTCTACTTTCATTGCAGAAACATGCTAGCATCCTTATCAAAATTTACAGTTATGTCTGTATTAGCTATTACATCAGTTATTCCTACAACTTTGTGTAATGGCAATGGATCAGCAGATCAAAAGCAGTTCATCTGCTTAGAATCCATTTAGAATATACGTGGGCTTGAACTTTTAGCACTATCTAGCAACGTATTTATTCTACCAAACACCCCTCCATACATGCTCCTCACAACTTCCAGCTTCCAGAAGGACCCTACGCTTTTGGTGCCCACCTAAAATGGAGCTTCAGATCCAAAAGGAATCTGGTTTATGTGCTCCAAAGCTGGCTTGTGAAGAAATGAATAGCAACTGCAAA